ACATACACACACACACACACACACCCAGACTCACACAAACACACACACACATATGCCCAGACTCACACAAACACACACACACACACACACACACACACACACACACACACACACACACACACACACACACACACACAGGCACATACACGCAGGCACACAGAGGTGCACATACACACACACGCACACATGTGCACATGTGGCTATTAGCAAACACGCACGTACAAATCCATACATGCTCACACTCACATGATCACACACACATATACACACTGCAGTGACCCTATCACAGGCTAAAAATATATCAAAAAGCACAACACTTTCTTTCCTCAGGGTTTCTCATTCATGGGTCAGTGTTTCCCACACAAATGCAGCATGAGACAGAAAGGCCTGGAAAGATACCGCTGAGATTTAAACAGCGTGCCCCCCCAGCGAGCCAATTGTTCTGTGAGTATCACCAGCTTGTCCCTTTGCTGTGTCTCAACGCTTGTATTTTTAGCAGATGAGCTATTTCGGTGCCTTTAGCACTACAGCGTATGCTCACCTGCTAGCATAGTGCAGTCTTCAATGGTGAAGTAAAATGCTCAGGGGTGCTATAACAGTGTACCCCAGTTGGCTGAACTCTTCCCCGTGAACATCCTGAAGAGTGCATCATTGATCTTCCCTGAGCAGTCCCTGTGTCCTCCCTGTAGCTCCCATGCTACAGTATGGTATTGAAAGAAGGTGGGGATCCAAAGGCTCATTCATCTGTCTCCATCATGTGCACCCCAACATTTTCGTTTCTGATGAGCAGATTCCAGGTGTTCAGACTCTATGTCAGCAGGTGAAGCATGCTTATTCGTCTATGTCCTGTAGGTGGCGCTACACAACGAGTCAGCAAACCTGCTGGAAGGTGATTTTCCACGAGCTAACCTTTTGTACGCTTGCGCATTGGGAAGATGAGAAGATGTCAGTGCTGCCGATAATGGCAACACATAGGGGTTGTGAATGTCTGTGTCCGTCAAAGGTAGATGCATTCTAGGAAGGGGGATGATCAACTGACTGACTGAATCATTGGGTGGTCAGGACAGCAGTTAGGGGTTCAGGACAGCAGAATCACTGGCTATCTTCTGACACAGACCGAAGACCCACTTCTTCAGACTGCATCTTAGTTCCACGTCAATCCCCGCTCCCCAGCACCTGCTACTGATATTACTGCTTATTTTACGTGTAGTTTCATAATGTGTTATGGGTACTGTGATTTAGAGACTGTGTGATGTATGGTAGTGTATGTACTTGGCTTCCCTTGATTTCTAGGCTGTAGGTTCAGGTTAGCACAAGTTAACTCATGGCAGCGCTTGAATAGTGTTGTGCTCACAGTCGGTGGTCTGGGAGAGTTGTTAGCCTGGCCTAGATCTGACACTATTGCTCATTTAACGTGGACGGCTACACTTATGTTCTCTTGTGCTGGAAGTCTCCCTGGGTAAGAGCATCTGCCAAATGAACGTAATGTAATGTAGCCAAAGTGATTCATCTGGCTGAAAAGTCGCAAAAGTCCCGCGGAAAATGGGACGATAAAGAGACCCCCCACCCTGAAATCGTGTGGAAAGGGGAAAGTGTTCCGGGGGGCAGGGGGTGCGACAGGTGGGGGAGTGGATGTACATGATAAACCGGATCAGAGGGGTGGCGTGTGACAGAACCACATCAGAAAGGGGGGTGGAGGGCTGACACCTTTTTTGACATGACAATCATTTTCACATGCACTACCGAGAGAGCAGCCCTTAAAATGTGACCGGGTCTTTATACAAGCAAACCGGAATTTTGCCAACATCCTCCATTAGTGCATTAGAAAAGTTTATTCAAACATTCAATTAATTACTGATGTTTTGATCTCCAAAACCCTGGTAATAAATATACAGAGCTGAAAGACAGAGAGAGACAGAGAGAGAGAGAGAGAGAGAGGAGGAGGAAAGGAAGAAGAGATATTTGGTATGTGTTTACAGCTCTGGCTTTCACATTAAGAAAAGCGCAAGTCAGAGCTGTAAATGGCATACCATCTCTCTCTCTCTCTTTATCACACACACACACCGACAGGCACAGACACACATACACACACATGCGCGCGTGCGCAAACACACAGACACATACGGACACACACACAGAAACACACATCGACAGACACACACACGCACACACACAAACACACATCGACAGACACACACACACACACACACACACACACTCACACACACACACACACACACACACACCGACAGGCATAGACACACATACATACACAAACGCACAGACACATATGGACACACACACAGAAACACACATCGACAGACATACACACGCACACACAGAAACACACATCGACAGACAGACAGACACACACACACACACACAAACACACACACACACACACACACACACCGACAGGCACAGATACACATACACATACACACACATGCGCGCGCGTGCGCAAACACACAGACACATACAGACACACACACAGAAACACACATCGACAGACACACACACGCACACACACAAACACACATCGACAGACAGACACACACACACACACACACACACACACACACA